CACACACACACACACACACACACACACACACACACACACACACACACCTGAACACACACCTGAAGATTCCTGCTGGGGGGCGGTAGAGGCAAATGGCTCTTCATCCTCCAGGATCAGTGTGGAGACACATCTGTTCCTCTTCCTGAGGCTCCACAACAGTAGTTATTTAGGTTATAAAACGTATCCTAATGTAAAACTGAGTAATTATAACTTTACCAAGTAATGTGAAGGAAGAAGCAGGTAAAATATACTGCAATGGATTGATGTACGGTCATACTGACAACGGCTAATGACTAAGACAACACAAACGTGTCCAGTTTGTAAAATGTTCAGGAGACAAATCAGCACCTCTTCCTCTTAATGGATATTTAACACAGTTCAAGTGCATCACAAGATCATTGCCTTTAGTCATTATTTATAGATTATAGATATTTAGATTATATATTATTTAGTCATTTAGCCTGCTATAGTGACAGCTAATATGTTTATTGCTGCTGTATCGTGTATGATACAGCATCTACCATACCATCATAATTCAAAATCAATAACCTGTCACACAACCTCTGTAGTACTAGTATACGAGTTATGTGCAATATATACCATGTGCATTTTAGCTTATATTACCACCGTGAAATACAAATTCATCCTGCTGTACTGTTAAAATGCTACCATGCAGTAGTCCCAAGAGCTGACGCAGCTGCACACCTTTATCTTTTGGTCGTTTCTCCTCCTCTTCTTCTTCTTTTCTTTTTTTCAACCGATGGCTTTGACCTGACCTGGTCCATCTTCCATGTGCCCCCCCCCCCCCATAAACATGAGTCAAATCTTGGGCCTAAACTAACTCGCCTTCCTTGGTGTGCAGATTCTTTTTTGTATTATTTTCTCAGTGATTTCAAACAAATAAGCTGTGAACTATTAGTTATATTCTCAATATTATGAATATGATGTACTTTGTGTGGGAGCAATCAATGGTGTGATTTACTTAGTGGTTAGATGAATCCCTGCCCGGCAAGGGACACGAGATAATCCCCCTCCCTGTTCGTGACGCCCTGGGCAGCTGCACCACTGGAGGTATGTACTCTGAGATACTGTACAATGTACATAACCAGTAGATACTGGGTTTGTACCTGATACACAGCAAGTACTCAATAAATAAGAATTTACCCTATAGGTACCCAGTAAATACTTAGTAAGTAGTTGCCTGTCTGTGCCTGGTACAGAGTACATTGCTGGGTACGTACTGATACTATGTAACCTATGCATACCTTGTAGGTACAATGAGTAATGCAAGTACTGGTTACCAGGTCATTACCATGTGGGTACACGTTGTATACCCAGGTGTATATACACGGTGTTGCATCCTTATTAGATCAAGACTAATGTGTTTTATACTGAAGTATAAAGTATGTTTATTAAATACGTACACGTTTTACATTCTGTGGACCAGAGTTTTATTCATGAACTGATTTTCACTGTACACAGTAACTCGAACACAAGAAGTATTTATTGAGTACTGCAGGTGGAGTGTGACTCCACAAATAACAAATAATAATGGTGAGACACAAAACATAAAGTAAAAAAAACACAAATCTGAAATGGTAACGAGTGAAAATCTTCGATAACAAGTTCAGAACACATTTTCAACACGTTCAGCTCCTCTGGATGACGGTTTAATCCGCAGGTTCTGTTCAGTAAATCACAGCGTCGACAAGAAAAAATCCTCGTCTGGTTCTGAACGGGTCCAGTTTGGTCCGATTCAAAACACCTGGAGATAGCAATGTGTACTTACTGTAAAGTACTTCAATAAAGGACTTCAACGGTGCTGAACATATATATAAAAAACAACAACAAAAAAACTTTTCTCGTGAAGGTTTATCTAATGACCAAAGCGCTCTCTTGGATCTTGGCGTTGGCAGACTGAAAAACAGAAAAGTGAAAATAAAACAAATGTATGAACAAACTGAGAGTACAAAGTAAAAGTAAAACTTACGCTCAGCTCTCTGGGGGACCAAACCGTCTCCCGGCCCGAACACCACAGCACCGAAAAAGGCCTCTCCTTCGTCTCCGGATGCTCCTTGAAGCACAAACTGAAGACTTTGGCAGGAAGGTAGACGTCCCAGTCCGCAGCGTGCTCCTCGGACAAACCACTGACCATCCTGTTGGAGAACATTCAGCTCTGAACTGGAGAAATCCCTGAGAAAATGCAGTGTGAACGCTTACTGCTGAAGAACAGCTGAAATGAGCTAAAAACATGCTGATTTTTAGCTGAAAAGAAAGAACAAGCCTAAATTAGCAGAATAAAGCAGAAAGAACACATATCTGGTGAAATGGGTTTAAATAAGCAGAAATTAGCACAAAAATTATGAAATTAGCTTAAAAAAAGGAGCTAAAATTAGCAAAATAAATAGCTGAAAATGCAGAAAGAAGCTTAAACTACCAGAAGGAAGTGGAAAGAGCTGAAGTTAGCTTAAAAATGTGGAATTAGCTGAAAAAGCTAAAAATAGCATAAAACAGCTAAATAGTAGCTGAAATAACAAACCAGCAGAAATAAACTGAAAGGAGCATAACATGGTGAAATTTGAAGACATAAGTTAATTAAGCTGAAAGCAGCAGAAATGACCACAAAACATTGAATTTATCTGAAAACAGCTGAAATTAGCTAAAAAATGCTACAAATGTAGCTGAACAGGTAGAGCAAGCTCAGATTAGCAGAAGAAGGAACGTGTTTGTCCAGTTAGTCTTAAAGAAGCAGAAATGAGCACAAAAAAGTGAAAATGATCTGGAAAAAGCTGAAATTAGCAAACAGCTGAAAAGTAGCTATAAAACCAGAAAGAAGCTTAAATTGCCAGAGCGAAGCACTTTTTTGCTGAATTAGACTGAAAAAAGTTTAAATGAGTGCAACAAATGTGGAATTAGCTGAAAAAGCTAAAATTAGCATAAAAACTGAAGGAAAAAGCTGAAACTTTCAGAAATAAGCTAAACGGAGCATAACAAGCTGAAACGAGCAGAAAGAAGTTAGAAGAAGCACAAAAATGTTGTAGTTCTCAGAAAAAATCTGAAAGGAGCACAAAACAGCTGAAAAAAATAGCTGAAAGTAGCTGAAAAAAGTTTAAACTTGCACATGGGAGCCGAAAGAAGCTGAAGCAGAACAAAACGTGAAAGGAGCAGTAAAAGGTTGTAAACACATCTAAAGATCTGAAGGATGGAAAATGAGCTCAGTTCATTTTTTTATGAGACAAAAGGCTAAATATTTCAAAAAGCTAAAGCTGCACCAATACCAAGAGTCGGAGCAGGATTGTCCTGAAAGAGCCGAATGTTTTGATGTTTGAGTTGTTGAAATAGCTTCAAAACTGCCGGACCAGAAAGACGCTGAAAAACGTACGGGGAGAAAAAAGGATCGCGATAGAGTGAAAGCTTCATAAACGTTCAGACAACAACGTAAATCCAGCGACTGACAACCAAAAGTCTGGAATCACTGTAATCTGCAGGTCTAAAACAAACATCTGCATCGGATTAAATCAGCTAAACGGCTTCAGGTAAAAAGAGCGGACGGACGTGAACCACGGCTCAACACTGAAACGAAGGAGAGGGTGAT